GCATAAATGCACACGCACAAAACACACGCACACATGCATAAGTGCACACGCACAAAACACACGCACACATGCATAAGTGCACACGCACAAAACACACGCACACATGCATAAATGCACACGCACAAAACACACGCACACATGCATAAGTGCACACGCACAAAACACACGCACACATGCATAAATGCACACGCACAAAACACACGCACACATGCATAAATGCACACGCACAAAACACACGCACACATGCATAAATGCACACGCAAAAAACACACGCACACATGCATAAATGCACACGCACAAAACACACGCACACATGCATAAATGCACACGCACAAAACATACACACACATGCATAAATGCACACGCACAAAACACACGCACACATGCATAAATGCACACGCACAAAACACACGCACACATGCATAAATGCACACGCACAAAACATACGCACACATGCATAAATGCACACGCACAAAACACACGCACACATGCATAAATGCACACGCACAAAACACACGCACACATGCATAAATGCACACGCACAAAACACACGCACACATGCATAAATGCACACGCACAAAACACACGCACACATGCACACATGCATAAATGCACACGCACAAAACACACGCACACACGCACACATGCATAAATGCACACGCACAAAACACACGCACACACGCACACATGCATAAATGCACACGCACAAAACACACGCACACATGCATAAATGCACACGCACAAAACACACGCACACATGCATAAATGCACACGCACAAAACACACGCACAAAACACACGCACACATGCATAAATGCACACGCACAAAACACACGCACACATGCATAAGTGCACACGCACAAAACACACGCACACATGCATAAGTGCACACGCACAAAACACACGCACACATGCATAAATGCACACGCACAAAACACACGCACACATGCATAAGTGCACACGCACAAAACACACGCACACATGCATAAATGCACACGCACAAAACACACGCACACATGCATAAATGCACACGCACAAAACTCACGCACACATGCATAAATGCACACGCAAAAAACACACGCACACATGCATAAATGCACACGCACAAAACACACGCACACACGCACACATGCATAAATGCACACGCACAAAACACACGCACACACGCACACATGCATAAATGCACACGCACAAAACACACGCACACATGCATAAATGCACACGCACAAAACACACGCACACATGCATAAATGCACACGCACAAAACACACGCACACATGCAAAAATGCACACGCACAAAACACACGCACACATGCATAAATGCACACGCACAAAACACACGCACACATGCATAAATGCACACGCACAAAACACACGCACACATGCATAAATGCACACGCACAAAACACACGCACACATGCATAAGTGCACACGCACAAAACACACGCACACACGCACACATGCATAAATGCACGCGCACAAAACACACGCACACATGCATAAATGCACACGCACAAAACACACGCACACATGCATAAATGCACACGCACAAAACACACGCACACATGCATAAATGCACACGCACAAAACACACGCACACATGCATAAATGCACACGCACAAAACATACGCACACATGCATAAATGCACACGCACAAAACACACGCACACATGCATAAATGCACACGCACAAAACACACGCACACATGCATAAATGCACACGCACAAAACACACGCACACATGCATAAATGCACACGCACAAAACACACGCACACATGCATAAATGCACACGCACAAAACACACGCACACATGCATAAATGCACACGCACAAAACACACGCACACATGCATAAATGCACACGCACAAAACACACGCACACATGCATAAATGCACACGCACAAAACACACGCACACATGCATAAATGCACACGCACAAAACACACGCACACATGCATAAGTGCACACGCACAAAACACACGCACACACGCACACATGCATAAATGCACGCGCACAAAACACACGCACACATGCATAAATGCACACGCACAAAACACACGCACACATGCATAAGTGCACACGCACAAAACACACGCACACATGCATAAGTGCACACGCACAAAACACACGCACACATGCATAAATGCACACGCACAAAACACACGCACACATGCATAAATGCACACGCACAAAACACACGCACACATGCATAAATGCACACGCACAAAACACACGCACACATGCATAAATGCACACGCACAAAACACACGCACACATGCATAAATGCACACGCACAAAACACACGCACACATGCATAAATGCACACGCACAAAACATACACACACATGCATAAATGCACACGCACAAAACACACGCACACATGCATAAATGCACACGCACAAAACACACGCACACATGCATAAATGCACACGCACAAAACATACGCACACATGCATAAATGCACACGCACAAAACACACGCACACATGCATAAATGCACACGCACAAAACACACGCACACATGCATAAATGCACACGCACAAAACACACGCACACATGCATAAATGCACACGCACAAAACACACGCACACATGCACACATGCATAAATGCACACGCACAAAACACACGCACACACGCACACATGCATAAATGCACACGCACAAAACACACGCACACACGCACACATGCATAAATGCACACGCACAAAACACACGCACACATGCATAAATGCACACGCACAAAACACACGCACACATGCATAAATGCACACGCACAAAACACACGCACAAAACACACGCACACATGCATAAATGCACACGCACAAAACACACGCACACATGCATAAGTGCACACGCACAAAACACACGCACACATGCATAAGTGCACACGCACAAAACACACGCACACATGCATAAATGCACACGCACAAAACACACGCACACATGCATAAGTGCACACGCACAAAACACACGCACACATGCATAAATGCACACGCACAAAACACACGCACACATGCATAAATGCACACGCACAAAACTCACGCACACATGCATAAATGCACACGCAAAAAACACACGCACACATGCATAAATGCACACGCACAAAACACACGCACACACGCACACATGCATAAATGCACACGCACAAAACACACGCACACACGCACACATGCATAAATGCACACGCACAAAACACACGCACACATGCATAAATGCACACGCACAAAACACACGCACACATGCATAAATGCACACGCACAAAACACACGCACACATGCAAAAATGCACACGCACAAAACACACGCACACATGCATAAATGCACACGCACAAAACACACGCACACATGCATAAATGCACACGCACAAAACACACGCACACATGCATAAATGCACACGCACAAAACACACGCACACATGCATAAGTGCACACGCACAAAACACACGCACACACGCAAACATGCATAAATGCACGCGCACAAAACACACGCACACATGCATAAATGCACACGCACAAAACACACGCACACATGCATAAATGCACACGCACAAAACACACGCACACATGCATAAATGCACACGCACAAAACACACGCACACATGCATAAATGCACACGCACAAAACATACGCACACATGCATAAATGCACACGCACAAAACACACGCACACATGCATAAATGCACACGCACAAAACACACGCACACATGCATAAATGCACACGCACAAAACACACGCACACATGCATAAATGCACACGCACAAAACACACGCACACATGCATAAATGCACACGCACAAAACACACGCACACATGCATAAATGCACACGCACAAAACACACGCACACATGCATAAATGCACACGCACAAAACACACGCACACATGCATAAATGCACACGCACAAAACACACGCACACATGCATAAATGCACACGCACAAAACACACGCACACATGCATAAGTGCACACGCACAAAACACACGCACACACGCACACATGCATAAATGCACGCGCACAAAACACACGCACACATGCATAAATGCACACGCACAAAACACACGCACACATGCATAAATGCACACGCACAAAACACACGCACACATGCATAAATGCACACGCACAAAACACACGCACACATGCATAAATGCACACGCACAAAACACACGCACACATGCATAAATGCACACGCACAAAACACACGCACACATGCATAAATGCACACGCACAAAACACACGCACACATGCATAAGTGCACATGCACAAAACACACGCACACATGCATAAATGCACACGCACAAAACACACGCACACATGCATAAGTGCACACGCACAAAACACACGCACACATGCATAAGTGCACACGCACAAAACACACGCACACATGCATAAATGCACACGCACAAAACACACGCACACATGCATAAATGCACACGCACAAAACACACGCACACATGCATAAATGCACACGCACAAAACACACGCACACATGCATAAATGCACACGCACAAAACACACGCACACATGCATAAATGCACACGCACAAAACACACGCACACATGCATAAATGCACACGCACAAAACACACGCACACACGCACACATGCATAAATGCACACGCACAAAGCACACGCACACACGCACACATGCATAAATGCACACGCACAAAACACACGCACACACGCACACATGCATAAATGCACACGCACAAAACACACGCACACATGCATAAATGCACACGCACAAAACACACGCATACACGCATTCATGCACGTGCAGCGTGCCACACTTTGTCAGGTCCAGGCAGGGCAGAGGAAGGGATGATCAAGGATAGCTCCACCCAAACCCATGCACACTGCAGCCTTCTTGCACCTGCAGCCTAAAAGGCAAGAGCACGGCACACCAAGGAAGAGCGAGAGGAGAGCGAGAGGAGAGCGAGAGGAAGAGGCAGAGGCAGAGAAAGAGGCAGAGAAAGAGGCAGAGGGCAGGGGCAGAGGGAGTGGTGGGTGCACACCAGTTGAGGGAGCAGCCGGTGGGGAAGGCGATGCCGGCGTGCAGCCCGTTGGCGGCAATGAGGCGCCTGACCGTGTCCTCGAGCGTCTCACAGAGGTCCGTCATTAGCATGTCGGGTTTGATCACACTCCTCATGTACTTGCGCACCTGGGGAGGGATGGGGGCCGGAGAGAAAGGGGGCCAGGAGAGGGGAGTGGGAACTTGAACTGCACTGAGTGACCCACAGAGGTCCGTCATTAGCATGCCGGGTTTGATCACACTCCTCATGTACTTGCGCACCTGGGGAGGGATGGGGGGCGGAGAGAAAGGGGGCCAGGAGAGGGGAGTGGGAACTTGAACTGCACTGAGTGACCCACAGAGGTCCGTCATTAGCATGCCGGGTTTGATCACACTCCTCATGTACTTGCGCACCTGGGGAGGGATGGGGGGCGGAGAGAAAGGGGGCCAGGAGAGGGGAGTGGGAAGTTGAACTGCACTGAGTGACCCACAGAGGTCCGTCATCAGTATGCCGGGATACATCACACTCCTCATGTACTTGCGCACCTGGGGAAGGGCACAAGCGCACGGAGGAGGGGGTGGGCGGGCCACGAGGGGCAAGAGGTTGGAGTGGGTTTAGATGCTCGGAGCGTCTTACAGAGGTCTGTCTGTCTGTCATGAGCATGCCCGGCTTGATCACCCCCCTCATGTACGTATTTGCGCACCTGGGGAAGGAGGGAAGGGGGGCAGCAGGAGGCGGGGACGGGTAAAAAGTGTTCTGAGTAACTCACAAAGCCCCGGCTCGATCACTCATCGCATTTACCCCCACACCTGGCCGTGCACACCTGGCCGTGCACACCTGGCCGTGCACACCTGGCCGTGCACACCTGGTCGTGCACGCCTGGCCGTGCACATAGGGGAAAGGGGGGTTGAGTTTTGAGTTGACTCAAAAGTCAGCACCATTCACCAATTTACCTCCCCCGTCCCTCATCCCTCATCCCCTTCCCCCACCTCCCTCCTCCCGTTTCCTTCCCCCTTTGCCCATCCCCCATCCCACTTCCACATCCCCCTCCCCCCATCTCCTTTCCCCTTCTCCCATCCCCCAATTCAGTAACCCATCCGCTATTCCCCTTCCCAAATACCTAAACCCCACGGGACAACATATGCCAGCAGTCTGTGAGAAAGAAATGCATCCAGCAGCAGTACTATCCATCTGCCATTCCACTTCTTGCCTTCCTTACACAGTATCACCCCGCCTCCAACAACCCCCAACCTCCAAAACCCCCCACCCCAACAACCCAAGCACCCTCCCTCTTTCCCCCACTCCCCCCATCTTTCCCCCCTGTTCTGTCCCCCATCATTTCCCCCCTTCTCCCCGCCCCTCACCTGGGGGTGCACCTGCGCGGCCTGGCGGAGGTCGTTCAAGGGGAGGGGAACTCCACCCGCTCGCTCCTGCTTCCCAAACCCTGAACCCTCCCTCTTTCCTCATTTCGCCTCATCTTCCCCCTCACTTGCCGGTGCACCTGCGCGGCCTGGCGGAGGTCGTTGAGGATGGGGAGGGGAACTCCACCCGCTCCTGCTCTCCAAGCCCTACCTAAACCCTCCCTCTCTCCCCACTCCACCTCATCTTTACCCCCCACCCTTTCCCTTCATCTTTCCCCCTTCCCCCTCACCTGACAGTGCACCACCGCGGCCTGTCCGAGGCCGTTCAGTCAGAATGGAGAGCGCAAGCGGCTCCTCCTGCGCTCTAAACCCGAAGCCCTCCCTCTTTCCCCACCTCCCCCCGACTTCCCTCTGCATCGTTCTTCCCCATCCATCCATGTTCCCCCCGCCCTCTCACCTGCCGGTGCACCTCTGCAGCCTGGCGAGGCGGAGGTCGTTGATGAATGACAACTCCACCCGCTCCTGCTCCCTAAGCCTTAATCCCTCTCCCTTTCCCCACTGCCCCCATCTCCCTTTCCCCACTGCCCCCATCTCCCTTTCCCCACTGCCCCCATCTCCCTTTCCCCACTGCCCCCATCTCCCTTTCCTCACTGCCCCCTATCTCCCTTTCCCCACTGCCCCCTATCTCCCTTTCCCCACTGCCCCCTATCTCCCTTTCCCCACTGCCCACTATCTCCCTTTCCCCACTGCCCCCTATCTCCCTTTCCCCACTGCCCCACTATCTCCCTTTCCCCACTGCCCCACTATCTCCCTTTCCCCACTGCCCCACTATCTCCCTTTCCCCACTGCCCCACTATCTCCCTTTCCCCACTGCCCCACTATCTCCCTTTCCCCACTGCCCCACTATCTCCCTTTCCCCACTGCCCCACTATCTCCCTTTCCCCACTGCCCCACTATCTCCCACCCCATCTCCCGCCGCCCTCTCACCTGCCGGTGCACCTCCGCGGCCTGCCGGAGGTCATTCAGGATCGGGAACTCTAGACACTCCTGCTCCCTAAACCTTAAACCGTCTCCCTTTCCCCACTACCTGCCTCCCATCTACCTCCCCATCTTCCCCCTTCCTTCTCACCTGCCGGTGCACCTCAGCGGCCTGCCGGAGGTCGTTCAGGATCGGGAACTCTAGACGCTCCTGCTCCCGTTTCTCCGCACTTGTCTTGCGCCACAAGTTGCTGCCACGCACGCAACACGGATCAAAGTGATGGGGTTGGGTTAAGGGGGGAGTGGGGGGAAGGAGGAGGTGAGGCGAGTAAGAAAGACAATGAAAATTATCACCAAAGAGCAATCGAACCTCACGGAGCGGAACGACATTCGGTGTTCTACTCACATAATTCTCGCCTACAGGCTGCACCTCACTCTGTGCGCCCATGCAGTCGGTCTCACATCGCCCACCACACCACAGCACACTGGTCTCACTCGCTCATCCTTGTACTCGCAGATCTCAGCTTGGGGAAAGAGCCCATTGGGGGAGAACGTCCTGTCCGTCCGGCCCTCGCTGATCTACTCACGCAGCAGCAGCTCTCTCACCTGCCATGTCATGCCACTCTCACACATCGCCCACACCACACCACAGCACACCAGACCACACTGGTGGCACTCACTCATCCTTATAGTCGTCTGCCATGTCATGTCTCTCTCACACATCGCAACGCCCACACCACACTGGTGGCACTCACTCATCCTTGTAGTCGCTGATCTCCGCTTGGGGAAAGAGCCCGTCTGGAAAGAGGTCCTTCACCGGCACACTGGGGGGATCAGTCTGAACTCGCGGCCCTGCTGCTGCTGCTGCCGCTGATGCTGATGCTGATGCTGATGCTGGCGTTGCTGCTCCTCCTGATGATGATGCTTCCCCGTTTGCTGCGTCGCCATTCGCCGCTGCTGCTGCTGCTGCTGCTGCCCCCGCGCCACCCCGCTTCCTGCGCAGCAAGGGAGCATGGATGCATGTAACAGACTTAACCTACCCGAGCGCGGGAGGGAGTGCATGCATGATGGGTGTGAAAGCATGTGCGCGTGTGTGTTCTACTCGTGACAATTTCCATGCATGCACACTCAAGCACGAGTGCAGAGTGCATGCGCGTGCGTGCTCATTCACTCATCCTCCCTTCAAACTTGAACCCTATGGCCCTCTCACTCCCCCACTCCGCACAGCCCCTCACCTGGGCTTGCGCTTTTTCTTGGTGGCTGTGCCTTCACCCGCTTCCTCTGATTTGATTATCACAGGGACGAGGGGAACGGGAAGGGAGGGGGAGGAGAAGGGGGAAAGAGGGCCATTGAGAGGGACGGGGTGAGAAAGAAGTGACATTATAAGCACGACAGGAGCGACACAGCAGCAAGAGAAGGTAGTGGAACATGGGATGACGGCCAGTCAGCACCAGCGTTACTACCAGCAGCGCTACTAGCAGCAGCAGATGGGGAAAGCACCACTGACTGAATGACTGACTGACTGACTGACTGACTGACTGACTGACTGACTGACTGACTGACTGACGGACGGACGGACGGACTGACGGACTGACTGACTGACTGACTGACTGACTGACTGACTGACTGACTGACGGACGGACGGACGGACGGACGGACGGACGGACGGACGGACGGACGGACTGACTGACGGACGGACGGACGGACGGACGGACGGACGGACGGACGGACGGACGGACGGACGGACGGACGGACGGACGGACGGACGGACGGACGGACGGACGGACGGACGGACGGACTGACTGACTGACTGACTGACTGACTGACTGACTGACTGACTGACTGACTGACTGACTGACTGACTGACTGACGGACGGACGGACGGACGGACTGACTGACTGACTGACTGACTGACTGACTGACTGACTGACTGACTGACTGACTGACTGACTGACTGACTGACTGACTGACTGACGGACTGACTGACTGACTGACTGACTGACTGACTGACTGACTGACTGACTGACTGACTGACTGACTGACTGACTGACTGACTGACTGACTGACGGACTGACGGACTGACCTGCTCCGCCACCATCAGCGCCCTCCCCTTCCGCCCCTCCCTCCGCTGCTCCCTCCGCTTTCGATGCTGCTTCCCCAATCTCCACAGTCCCACCCGCACCCTCCTCCTGCCCCTGCTGCTGCGCCCCACCTCCCTTCTTGCCCTTTTTTTTCTTCTTCTTCTTGCTCTTCTGTCCCCCCACCCCTTTTTCCTGCCATCCACCACCTCATACGACACAACACCACACAACACCACACCACGCTCCACCACGCCACGCCACACCACACCACACCACACCACGCCACGCCCCACCACGCCACGCCACACCAGTCCGCAACACACCACACCAAGCCACGCGGCACAGCACAAGGTAGGAGAACGTCCGGCTCGTGATGCATGCATGGTCAAGAGAAAGTTTCCTCCAATTGTTCTGAGTGGAACAAGGAATCAGAGAAAGCTTCTTAGAAGCAAAGCGTTGCCCACAAGTCTTGCAAACGCAAAAGTTCCCAGTCGTCGACGAAAAAGAGTGGGGAGGGGAGAGGGGGAGGGGGGGGGGGGGGGGGGGGGGGGTGGCGAGGGCGGAGAGAGGGGGAGGAGGGCGGGGGAGAAAGAGAGAGAGGTTCGAAGAGCAAGGGAATGAGACGAGGGGGGAAATTCATTCGAAGACAGAATCCAAAACGACAATCTGGCAAGCCACGACAAACCCCCACATGTCTCACGGGAAAAGATTCTGCCCGGCGCCACAGCACACGCAGCTCGCGCCGCGTGGTAGGAGGCGCGGCCTTCGAGCGGCCATAATTCTGAACATCTGCGTCTGCCCAGCAGTGGCAATTTCATTTTCCCTCTTCCACAATAAAACTTCCATCAATTCGAGCGCTCGTCACTCACAACTCACCTCTGTTGCTTCCTCGCCTTCCTCCACGTCATCTCCCAATCCTTCCTCCTCGTCGACTGCCGGATTCGACGGCGGATTCTGCGCGGCAACCGCCGCCGCCGCCTCCTCTGCCGCTAGCGGGCCTGGCATCGCGACGCGGTGAAGCGAGCCTCAAGGAATTGCAGAAACGAAAACGAAGCGGAAATTTGCGAGAATCAGGCACCAGTTGGCGAAATCGGGAACGTGGCGAAAACTCTGCGGGACGGAAGGCGGCGGTGACGAGAGTTGGGATGCGGCGGCGGAAGGGCGGAAGGAAAACCGTGCCCAAAAAGCATAGTGGCTCCGAAATAAGTGGCTGCCAACTTGGAAGGAACAGAAAAGTGTGCCGTGTACCCCAAGTGCGAAAACCCTAAGGGCGCGGAGGATGGCGAAGGGTGGCGAATGTAACATCGATTTCGGGGGGATGGCGGTACTGTACATTGATCTGCAGAATTGATGGAGAAGATTGATCGCCAACTCGACATACGGCCGACGTTGTTACAATCGTTATGTGCTTCGCAGATTTTACAGACCCCAGAGCAAGTACACTTACGAGTGTCGCAATAAACACAGCAACCCGATTTGCGAATCTCGCTTGCGTGTTGACGAATCATATGCATGTCAAGAAACCCAAGCATTTCCCAATTTCACCTCTCAGATTCCGACTTCTGTAGATTCAAGCGCTGCGGAGGCCAGCAGCGCCGTCCGCGTCAATGGCGTCGCCCTCGCGCACCTCCCCACCATCGCCGCGCGGGCCCAACTTCTTCGCGGGGAATCCGCTGCTGCCACGTAAGCAGGAGAAAGCCAGCGTGGCGCAGCTCCTCAGCCCGCCCGACAGCGTTCCCGCCACGCCGCCGCTCCCGCCGCTTTCCTCCCGCCCTAACTCCGCGCTTCCCGGCTCCGCGCCCGCGAAATCCCCCCTGGGCGTCGCGCATCTGCTGCGCGCCGTGTCCCCGTCAAGAACATCCTCGTTACCAGCGCATTACTCCCTGCCGCCCGGCGACGTGCCTATATCGAGTCTGCACGGGTCCAGCAGCGCGGCCCTTTTAGGCACGCCGGATTCTTCGCGAAGCGAACCGAATGCGATCCGGATCGAATCAAATCCGATCCGAATCGAGCCTCAGGTGCTGGCGGTTCTGGACGGGCGCGTGCTCGTCGCCTGGTCGCAGCGCCGCGTTCCACCCGCCGCTGCCGCTGCCGCTGCCGCTGCCAACGATGCAGGCTCAGCAGAAGGTTCAGCAGAAGGTTCGGCAGCAGGCTTGGTCGCATTGCTCTCCGGTTGGTGCCTGGCCTGGCAGCCGCTGTCCTCGTTTGAAGGCAGCACTGCTGGCAGCAGCGGAGGGGGTAACAGTAGCAGCAGCAGCAGGGTGCGGGAGAAGCTGGTGTATCTGGGGGAGAGGCTCGGCGCGCCCCACTTCGCCCTCGAAGTGCAACTCGACCCCTCCGCCTCTGCTGCTGCCCATGCCTCTGCTGGTGCCTCTACTGCTGCTGGCCCCACCGCTGCCAATGCTGCCGCCAGTGCTGCTGCAGGCACTGCCGCAGCAGGGGCGGAAGTGAGAGGAGGAGGAAGAGGAGGCGGGGACGTGGCGGGTCAGCGGCTCACTGCCAGCCTGGCTACTCCTGCCACGCCTCCGCCCAGCCCTGACACGCCTGCCGAACCTGCCTCCGAACCTGCACGTGCTGCCCCTGCCGAACCTGGCGTAGCCACTGCCGGCACTGCTCGCAACGTGACTGCGACTCAAGCTGCTGAGAATGAGGCAGCCCAGGGGAATGGCAGCAGGGGTAATGGGGGCAGTGGTGATGGCGGGGGGGGAGGAGGGCGAGGAGAGGGAGGAGAGAGAGGAGCAGGAGGAGGAGGAGGGCGGGGTGAGAGAGGAGGGGGAGGAGGGCGAGGGGAGAGGGGAGGGGGAGGGGTGGTGATGGTGGCGGGGTATGGGCGGGCAGTGTTTGTGGATCTACGCACGCTCATGCTCGCCACGCATCCCCTTGACGCCCACGCACGCCACGACCTCGCAATTGCTGGCCATGTGAGTCGAGCAAAGGCTCTCCACCCAACATTGCGTCTGCTCCCCTCTCAACCCCGCCCTCGTCTCCGTCTCTCTGCATCCCTCCCTCCCCCTCCACCTCCCCTTCCCCCCACCAGGCGCGTGCCCTGCTAGCATGGCATCGTTCGGCGTGCTTCTGTGGCACGTGTGGGGCGCGCGCAGCCCCCTGTGAAGCGGGAAACCGCACCGCCTCTAGCCACTCTCCTCCTATCTGCGTCTCCATCCCATCCCTCCCTCCACCAGGCGCGCGCCCTGCTAGCATGGCATCGCTCGGCGCGCTTCTGTGGCACGTGTGGGGCGCGCACGGCCCCCTGTGAGGCGGGCAACCGCCGCCTCTGCCCCGTCGCTGCCTGCCGCTCCAAGCTCTACCCACGCATCGACCCGGTACGGTGCTGTGCCTCAGTGACTTGTTGACCCGGTGAGCTCAGCTCTACCCGTGCATTGACCCCGTACGCTGCTGTGCATCTGTGAGCTCAGCTCTATCTACCCATGCATTCACCCCGTACGCTGCTGTGCGTCTGTGAGCTCAGCTCTATCTACCCGTGCATTCACCCCGTAAGCAGACGCCTGCTCTTTGATCCATACACACCTGCCCATGTCTATCCCAATCACCTGCCCATGCATATCCCATTCCGTAACCATTCCATGCTTTCATGCATAATCCACCCTGTCGTTTCACCATCTCACCACCGCACTATCCTGTGCCCCATGCCAGGGAGTGGCAACGCTCTTGCTGGTTCTCCGATTCTTGCCTTTCCCAGCCCAGTGGGCAGCCCAGTGGTTATCAGATTCATCCTTTTCCCAGCCCAATGGTCAGCCCAGGGAGTGGCAATGGTCTTGCTCCACCTCTGCACCTCATCATGCCCTTCCCTTTCCTTCGCTCCCACCCATTTACGTCCCAATCGCCGACCTGCACCTGTCGCCCCACCCCACCGCACTGCACCGCACTCCAACCCACTGCAGGTGGTGATAATGCTGGTGGTGCATGCACGGTAGGATCGAGTGCTTCTGGCACAGCAGCACCCATTACCCTATGATATCGCAACCCACCGTATCCAACCATCGCCCCAGCCCACCCCACCCATCCCACCGCACTCCACCGCGCTGCATGGCAGGTGGTGATAATGCTGGTGGTGCATGCACGGTCGGACCGAGTGCTGCTGGCACGGCAGCACCGCTTCCCCGACGCTATGTGGAGCTGCCTCGCTGGTTTCATGGAGGTGCGTTGGTGCGGGCATGTAGGTGTGTGTGGATCTTCTGCTGTGTGTGCATGTCGAGTGTGCGCTGCTTGCATGTGCTGCCGCTTCCCCGACGCCATGTGGAGCTGCCTCGTTGGCTTCATGGAGGTGTGATGCGGTCATGAGTGGTCGTGTCATCTGTAAGGGTAGATGCTCGCACACGCTGTGTGTGCATGCATGTGCTTCCGTGTGTGCATATGCTGCTGCAGCATCTCTTCCCTGACCAACGCCATGTGGAGCTTGTGTTGATGTGTGTGCATTTCGAATGCTGTTGACACGGCAGCATCTCTCTTCCCCGACGCCATATGGAGCTGCCTCGCTGGCTTCATGGAGGTGCGCTCATGCATGTTTGCGTGCCGTCTGCCAAGGTGCATGTATACATATCCTGCTCTATATGCGTGCACGCGGGCTGCCACTCTTGCTCTGGAGAGTGTCGATGAGGCATGGCATGGATTGTAAGGGATGGGGAAGAGGACGAGGGGGAGCATACAGGGTGTTTTTGAGAATTCTCAAAAACACCTTGCAGGGTGCGTACAGTGGAATGAGTGGGATGCAAGAGGGGACGAAGCCTAGGAGCCGTTGACCTATGTCTGGAACCCTGTTCCTGTGCACGTTCTTTTCTTCCCCTCCCAGTGACTTTTGAGTCGACTCAAAAGTCACCTCGATGCAAGGGGGGAAGGAGCGGAGAATTCTTTGACCTACCCCTTGAACCTCGTACCCATGCACGTCCTTCCTTTCCCCTCATTATCCGCTGTGTGCCGTCCCCTCCCATCAGCCCGGGGAGAGTTGGGAGAGGCAATGGCGAGGGGGGTGGGGCTGCCTTTGAATTGTCCCTCGCCCCTTATCCATATGCACGCTCTCTTCTACCCTCCCCTCTCCTCGTGTTTTGAGTCGACTCAAAACACGACTCATTACATGGGTGGGGCTGCCTTTGAATTGTCCCTCGCCCCTTATCCATGTGCACGCTCTCTTCTACCCTCCCCTCTCCTCGTGTTTTGAGTCCACTCAAAACACGACTCATTACATGGGTGCGGCTGCCTTTGAATTGTCCCTCGCCCCTTATCCATATGCACATTCTCTTCTACCCTCCCCTCGCCTCCTTTCCCCCTCTTTTCCTTTCTCCCTGCTCACGCCGTCACTCTCTCCAGCGCGGGGAGAGTTTGGAGGGGGCAGTGGCGAGGAAGGTGAGGGAGGAGGAAGAGGAGGAGGGGAAAGAGGGGGAGGGGGGCGTACAGAGTTGCCTCAGAAGCACTCACTTGTTCCCGTTTGTCCTCCCCGTCCCCCTGTGTGCGTGCCGTCCCTTCCCATCAGCCCGGGGAGAGTCTAGAGGAGGCACTAACGAGGGAGGTGCGGGAGGAGGAAAAGGGGGAGGGAGAGCATACAGCGGCATGAGTTACTATGCGTTTGATAAAACCCCTTCGTCCACCTGTGTACCTTCCCTTCCCATCAGCCCGGGGAGAGTTTGGAGGAGGCAGTAGCGAGGGAGGTGAGGGAGGAGGTGGGGTTGTGCATCGCTCACACCCGCTACCACTCGTCGCAGCCGTGGCCCGGTGAGTGGAGAGGAGAGGGCACAGCACAGCGCAGCACAGCACAGCACAGCACAGCACAGCACAGCGCAGCGCAGCACAGCACAGCACAGCGCAGCACAGCACAGCACAGCGCAGCACAGCACAGCACAGCACAGCACAGCACAGCGCAGCACAGCACAGCACAGCGCAGCGCAGCACAGCACAGCGCAGCACAGCACAGCGCAGCACAGCACAGCACAGCGCAGCGCAGCACAGCACAGCGCAGCACAGCACAGCACAGCACAGCGCAGCACAGCACAGCACAGCGCAGCGCAGCACAGCACAGCGCAGCGCAGCACAGCACAGCACAGCGCAGCACAGCACAGCGCAGCATATGTGCTCCTAACACATGGGTGGCGAGGAAGGGACGTGAGGGAGGAGGTGGGTCTGTGCATCACGCACACCCGCTATCACTGATCTCAGCCGTGGCCTGGTGAGTGGAGAGGGCGTGTGTTCTGTGGACAGGTAAGTGGATTCATACCACTCCCGCTACCACTGATCTCACCCACCTTCTTTGTTTTTGCAAGGAAGGGGGTTCTGGGTGAACACAGAAGGGAATGACTTTTGAGTGGCGATCAGTTGTCTCTCGAGTCTCTACTCTGGCAGTTGAATCTGAATGAAGCCACTACCAGTTGACAACTCAAAAGCACCAATGCGGCGTGGCGATGTGGTATGAAGGCGGACGAAGCACCTGTTGCCCAGATATGCTGAACGCAGGGTTAAACATGCAGCCATCTCCCTTGCGCCTCCCTATACCACTCCCCTACTTCTCCTCGCCCGCACCCACCAGTGGGGTTCAGCAGCATGCAGTGTCAGGTGATGGTGGGTCATGGGACAATCTCTCCTCGCCGTCCTCCCCTCTCCTTCCCCCCATCATCCCCACCCACCAGTGGGGTTCGGCAGCATGCAGTGTCAGCTGATGCTGGGCTTCTATGCCTTTGTGGACGACACTGCTGTTACCCTCAACACACACGAGCTGCAAGGTACGTGTGCTCGTCATGTGTGCATGTGTGTGTGCGTGTGTGCGTGTGTGTGTGTGGTGTGTGTCTGTGCATCTGCGTGTGTGTCAGCCAATGGTGGGCGTTTTTGCATTCATCAATAACGCCACTGTTGCCCTCAACACACACGAGCTGCAAGGTGTGGTGTGTGGTGCATGTGGGTGTGGGGAGATGGGTGCTTCTTGTGGGATGGTGTTGCAAGGTGCGTGCGGGTGGGTGAACGAACAGGAGCCGCAACATGGGTGCGTGCCTGCGCATGTTATTGGAACAGTAGTGGAGTGGTGCATGTGCGTGGGTGGGTGAGCACAAGCTGCAAGGTATGTGTGGGTGCATGGGTGTGTCGGAGGAAAGTTGTAAGGTGCAATGAAGAGTAGGGACTGTCTTGTGTCACATTGGATGTATTCTTAAAGGCTGGAGTAGCCATCTAGTTGCATCAGTCTCAATATGTGTGCAAGGAAAAGCTGTGGTGTGCATGTTTGTGGGATTCTATTACTAATATTTTTGGTCTAATGGTTCTTTTCTTCTTCTTTAAGCATGCACTTCTATTCATGCCCTCACATGGTTCTGTTTGTGATGGGTTTCCGATGCGACATCGCACCCTACCCACCCTCACAGTTGAAGCGTTTTGTGTATACCTCCTCCATACAACATCAGAAATCATGCATGTGAACAAACTTTTTTTGCATACAATCTTCTGTCTGCTGCAGATGCTCACTGGTTCACACGCCAGCAAGTTACAGCCGCACTTTCCCCTGAGCGATACGAGACGGAATGCACTGCAGCGAGTCGCAAGGTGTATCTTAAACTAGTTCCACAAGCACACGAGGACTCGCTGCCTCCAGAGCATAAGCCCAACAACCATGTGTATGTCCCAGGGCCCTACGCCATAGCCCACCATTTGATAGCTGCTTGGTCACGTGACAAAAGCATTATGGATGGAGGACACAGTTGCTTGTGATGTAACGAGAGCAATGATAATTAGGATGTCACCAACTTCAGTGTCTGTTTGCGTGAGTACCAAAATGCACAGCTTGTTGTATGGGGAAATGGTCATGTGCATGTTTTCATATCAGACCAGTAGCCAGTGTATTTTCAATACAGGTACTTGCAGGTGACGGTGCCTACATCGTAAATGGCATGAGTTGGTAGCAAGCTTCAACTACAGAAAAGGAACCTGTGGCAGGCACCATCGTTAACTGCAGGTCTCAGAATGCACAATCTTCTCTCAATCTCATGTCTTATGCCAACATCAGCTCTAAGAAGCATCAATGTGCTCATATGCTGCAGAACGGGTGAATGACCATACAAATGCATAAGGGGCAAGTGGAATTTAAAGCCCGCGTCCCAAATTGCGGGCCGCGAGGGTCAAGTTTTTAAAACTTGACGAAGTTGAGTGTCCAAGCTTTTGAAAGTCACGCACCTGCAATTTGGGACTTTCGAAGACAGATTCACTCACCAGGGGGAAAACCGAGGGTTGGCTGGGTCTCGCGAAAAAAACGAACCTAGACGAAATCGGAAACTCTCGCCAAAGCCCACACCAGAAAAACTCCCTCTGGTCAACTTTTAAAAGCATGAACAATGGAAATTGTGTCTATTGACAATGGTTCGCAGAAGGTTTGTGGACCCAACTCGATATCAAGACTTTTCCTCGTCAGCTAGTACTCTCGCGTGGAGTACCACCTCACTATGCGGCAGCTTCGCGTACTTGCGGTGCGGATCAGCAGGATATGCGTGTGCTTTGGTACTATGATTATGCCACGTGCAAAGCTCACGACTTGTTGGTCAGTGGTGAAAATTCCACGTCGGACGCGAACGTCCTCGTTTGCTCGACTGAGTCGAGGAGACAATGTCCACGGAGGAGCCACGTCCGACGTACTGAAACTCGGATCTCCACAGATGACACATTTGCTTTTTGGTCCATGTCATCCGAATGCTACGCCTGTGCGCGAACATCAAAAGCTTGTGGCCAGGGGTGCATCCCCCAGATCCAGCACTGCCCCGAAAAGTTGCTGCCACGGCAGCACAGTGAGGCGACGAGCTGGCACGCCATTTGCAATCGGGGATGTGCTGCTTCCAGCGCACATTCCGGTGCAATGTGGTCCCCCTCTATTCGCATTCCGTGTCGCGCTGCCTGCGCGCTTCGTTCCAGCACAGGGACGGGCTGGCAGCGGGTGGCGGAAGCATCACCAAATCACTTCCCCCAGCCCCGCCATCCCTCCTAACTGGGCGCGCTGGCACTGGAGGAAGAGTTCGGTTCGGACCCGCCTTGTTGGCTCCCGTCCCGTTGCGCGGCGCTTTCGTGGCAGTGGCAGCAATGCCACGCTTGATTGGTTAGCTTCTTTCCCCGCAAACCTGAATGTTTCACAAACGGAATCGCGCATCGCCGAAGGGTGTGTAGTGCGAAAGAGTATTTGAGACAACTCGACATTGATAACTCTCGCAACCAAAATTCTCTCGCAGTTTTTCAGCAGCTTTTCCCACAACTAAAGTTACTCTGCCTAGCCGCTATACAAGCTCTTCTGATCCTCACTACACCTTCGACCTAAGAACCTGCGTCTTTTCACCTTCCAATTGAGAATTTGCTGCTGCTCTACTCGTATTTCGAGGCATCATGATCGCATACGCCTGGAGCCTGGCTACCGCCACCGTCGGCATTCTCGGTGGAGTCTCCACGGTCGTGTTCGGTGGGAGCTACATGGCGCACACCAGGATCGTGCAGGCGGTGAGTGAATCGCACTCCCGACTCTTTTCTATATTGCGATGATGTGGCGGCGGTGGTTGTTTCCCTTGGGTGGACTAGGAGGTTGCGTGGATTAGAGCCGTACCCATTGGAGATCGTGCTTTTAATCGTGCTTTTACTTTTCGCTCTTGATTCGCCTATCACAAACTAATCCACGTTGCGGTTCCTCCCTGCACTTGTTTTTTTTTTTTTTTTTTTTTTTTCCTGCAGAAACAATTAGCGAAGAGAAGAATGAGTGAAAGCGCTGCGCCTCCAGCTCCCAAAGTGGAAACGAGCTGAAGATGGCTCTCGCGGTCTTGGGCTCGCGAGTTGCGACGATAAACAGCAGTCATCTCAACCGTTGATATACCTCAGTTAGCCCTCTCACACGATGGCCCAGTAGTGTACATTCTTCTGCGAAGTAAGCAGCGCGCCCGCAAGCAACTTAGGTTGTAAAGTGTGAAGTACTAGTAAATGATTGTATTTTCTCTCTGAGTCGTTCCACATAAGACACCGCTGAGATGAGAGAAGTAACCTGGCTTATGCGTTCGCATGGCTGCCAGGAGAACTTATTTTAAAAAAAGTAAGGGCTTTAGATATTGTTGAAACGTTATAGCATACGGAGAGAATAAGGGTGCATTCCTGTCTTGACATTTGTGTCACAAAGCGGAGGTACCGCTCTGTACCGAATGGAACCGCTTTGTTAAAACATTTCTACCTAGTGCAGGAATGTACCCTAAATCCAGACATTGTTCATGATGTAACAAACCCCTTACACTGGAGCAACACGTGAATGTAAGAATCTAGCATGTTCCACATTTATGGAGTCAAGCTGAATCACATGAACCTGGTGTGCTTCACATACTCAAACTGCCCCTGTGCATCATACGCTATCACCACCTGCTGCACCTTCCACTCTCCTTCTGCCATGTACCCTGTATCCTCAAGCCCATCCCTCAGGTCCTCCTCTCCTTCACCTACACCCAATTCCTCCCCTCCTCGCTCCTCACGAATTCCATCACCACCACCACCCTGCACCCCTTCCCCTCCCCCCCTCACATACGTCACAACCAGCCAAAACTCCTCCCCTACTCCTCCCCCCTCGCGGCTGAGCATTGGCTCTAAGGGGGACGGCATAGCCACCACCACGCCCCTAGGCAGTGCCCAAACACCATACTTGTTTTGCTGGGCCTCGGGTATCCCTGCCAAGTACCCTGAAAATACCTCCATGTTCTGGGTTTCCAGCCTCTTGTTGGGGTGCTCAGGAAGAGGTGTAGCATAGAGGTCAGCATAGATGTAGTGGGGAACTCCATAGAGAGGCTTGGGAGGGAGAGAGGGGAGGGAGGCAGGCAGGTGGGTCGGTAGAGGAGTCTTCCAGTGAGGGCTGGCCCACGTGTCATGCAGGGATTGGCTGGAAGGGCTTGTGGTTCCGTCAGTAGCTTGGTAGCTGGCGGCACTGCCACTAGTGTGGGACTTGTTGTGCATGTCTGTTGGTAGGACAGTGTCGTCTTGCCTCAGCGACAAGGAAGCTTCCGAAAAGGCCACGTTGAGCTGTGCGCTGGGGCCTGCGAGGCAGAGGCAATGGAGGCAGAGGAGAGGAGATGGGTGAGAGGGGAGGGAGAGGGAAGCAGGCGAGTTACTCAATCAAACGTGGGTGGTGAGAGCGAGGTCAAAGCGGGGTGAGATGATTGGAGCACGTGGTGGACAAGACTAGCTGCTTGCATGCAGATCTATGGCTTACTGCGGCGCACTGTGCGCACAGTGCCAAGGTTGCAGAATCACATCTCACGCAATTATTCACACTCGCCGTGCGTCCGTCTCACTTCCCAAACAGCAGCACTGTGCGTACCGTCCATGAAGCACACGTTGGCTGTGAGTAGCACTGCACGCCGCACCGACCCCCCTCCCATGTTGCCCTGCCCACGCCCCTTGTCATCACGCTCACCCTCCTCGCCCTCCCCCTTCCCCTCCCCCACACCCTTTCCCCTGCCCTCCCCCTTGCCCTCACCCCTGCCCTCCTGCCTGCCTCCCCCCACCTGGAGCTGCGCCATCACCACAGCCCCGCCCCCATTCACCTCATCCCCCTCCCCCGCCTCCCCTCCTTCCCGCTCCTCGTCCCCCCCAGCACAGAGCACGCGTGCGCCATGGCTGTAGATGCCATAGGGCAGGGCGATGCCGTTGGCATGGCTGGCGCGCGCACAGGAGAAGGGCCACGCGCCCTCCGCCACCTTGGCTGGGAAGTCCCCCCGCCGGTTGAACTGCTCGTGCTGTGCAGGGATGGAGCGGAGGAGAGAGTGAGAGTGAAGGAGAGGGGGTGGAGAGAGAGGGGTGAGGGGAAGGAGATGGGTGGATAGCCGTGCGTGGAGAGAGAGGGGTGAGGGGAAGGAGATGGGTAGTCGCCCAGCTGCTTCACAGGAGGACAACCATGCGCCTTCTGCCACCATAAGTCCTCTTTCCAGTTGAACTGCTCGCACAATGCGGGGAAGGAGGGGAAGAGAGAGAAGGGAAGTGAAGTGACGGAGAGGTGGTGGAAGTCGCCAGGGTGCTTCACAGGAGAAGGGCCACACACCCCCCCACTACCTAGGCTGGGAAGTCGCTCTCGCTTGAATCGCTCCTGCTGTGAAGGGGATTCTGGGGACGGGGGAGGAGGGAGGGGAGGAGGGGTAAAGGGGTGTGGGAGGAGAGGAGGAGAGGGTGGACTCGCGTGCAGCAAGCGTGGCCCTCCCTTCTCCCTGTAGACTGGTGTGGGCCCCACAGGAGAAGGGCCATGCGCCCTCGCCACCTTGCTTGGTAAGTCCCCCCACCGCTTGAACTGCTCGTGCTGTGCGGTGCGGGAGGAGACAGAGAGAGGGTGAGCTGGAAGGAGCGGGGGTGGAGAACACGGGAAGTGTTCCAGAGGTGAGGAGGTGGAGGGCAAGCACGGGCCCAACAGGCGAAGGGCATCATTTTTAAGAATTCTCAAAATTGAGGAGGTGGAGGGCAAGCACGGGCAAGCACGGGCAAGCACGGGCAAGCACGGGCAAGCACGGGCCCAACAGGCGAAGGGCCACGCTCCTCCCATCACCTTGATAGAGAGCCGGCTGCTGATGGCTTGCGCGCATGCCCCTTTTGGGACAGTTGTGCTGTCGAGGGAGCGTGGAGGGGAGGGTGGTGGAGAGTGGGTGAAGAGAGGTGTATGGGTCCAAACGAGGGCTTCTCTTTCGGTCCGTTCAGGCTTCACACCACTGCTTTTGCAGGCGCCGTGGAGGCTTGTCAAGGACAACCGCAAGGCCAGGGGCAGTCAGGGGCAGGGGCAGGGGCAGGGGCAGGGGCAGGGGCAGGGGCAGGGGCAGGGGCAGGGGCAGGGGCAGGGGCAGGGGCAGGGGCAGGGGCAGGGGCAGGGACAGGGACAGGGACAAGGGCCGGGACAGGGGTAGGGACAGGGGTAGGGGCAGGGGTAGGGGCAGAGACAGGGACAGGGGCAGAGGCAAGGGGAGAAAACAGGGGCAGGGGCAGAGGCAGGGCAGGGACAACAGTAACGACAGGTGCAGGAACACGGGCAAGGCCAAGGAGAAGGGCGAGGGCAGAGGGTAGGAGCATGGCTCGGGCAAGGACATGAGTATCTTACCCGCAGCACGTACTCCTCTGCACCGCTCTCCACCTCCACGGGTGTGATTTCACGCAGCAGCTCCAGCGACAGCTTCGCCTCTCGCCCCTGCGCTGGTAACCAGAATCGCCAGTGCCCGTACCGCGTCGCCAGCTGCGGCCGGTAGCGCCGCCAGTGCTCCTCGGGGGTCAGCACCCGCCCTCCGGTCCTAACGTTTATCGTGCGGTTGTCCTCGGTGCGGTTATTCTCGGTGCGGTTATCGTCAGCCCCTCTGATAGGCTTATCACGCCCCTCTGCCCGCCCCATGGTGGGCGAGTCGACTTTCGCGTGGCCGTCCGGATGCTCGTTCCCATCCCCGTTGTTGTTGGTAGCTCCGGGCTCGCGCCGCAGACCGGCGTTGGCAATATGCATCGCGCCGCCGCCGCCGCCGCCGCTCGGAGCTCTCCGCCGTGAAACTCGGCGAGGAAGACGAAGCGGCCGAGTTCCCTTCGGAAGGCCCGGCGCCGACGTGCCGCGAATCCCGTGATTCGCGGAAGAAACGGCCGCCGGATAGAATCCGCGAGGCGCGGAACGGCCCTCAATGCACTGGAAACGCTCGAGAGAGAAGGCGCGGTTCGCAACGGATACGATCCCGAAAGGGGAAGACAGGGCGATGTTGAGGCTCATGACTGGACCGAGATACGCCGAGCTTGGGAATGGAAATAGGTCTCTCGTGGTAGGAGGCAGAAACTATAATTCGTCGATGAAATCCCATCGCGTTCACGTGGCTCGCGACGACGGAAGTCGGCAGTCTCGCGAGGCGCATACCCGCGCGGCTCGTCTGCAAAAGGTCGTGCGGGCTGGGGGAGACTGTCGCGACGCGCGACATCGCATGTGAGTGATAGACGTGGTCGGAGTATCCTAAGGACGGAGAGAACGAGAAAGAAGAGCGATATCTCGACAGCCCTTCCAACGCTGGCGAGAGCAATGGGAACTCCGAAAGTAGGTACGCAATAAGAGAATCTTCACGGTAAGGAATGAAAGAGAGCACACAGAGAGCAAACGTTATAAAACTTTACTTAGAAATTTCCGCAAGCCATTTGGAATCTCGAGAGAGCTTTCACCATCACACCCGTTCAGGGATTGCAATTTGCAAGTTACGCACCCTACCCCACTGCCCTCCCCCCCCAGCCAAACCCCCCCCATGTTGCAAATTGGGGGGGAATTGAAATTGGCGAGGGTGTAGGCAGAGCAGTTCGCAGCATTCCAAACAACTGACCTGCCACAAGTCCTACGAGTCGCACACCAGCCTGCATCATGCGTACTGTTGACGGGAATTGGCCCCGCCCTCGCTTGGGCGAAGCGGACTTCGCAGTTGGGGAGCGCGCAGAAGTTGTCGTAGACTGCGCGCAGAGTTCGACCTCGACCTGCCCGTATAGTTCGACCTCGACGCGTTCGCAGAGGACGCGGTCGACGGGCTCGCAGAGGACGCTGGTCGACGAGTCCGTCGAGGAGCTCGGTTCGCGGGATCCGTTCGGTATAGGAGCTCCTCAAGGCCGGTATAGGAGCTCCTCGACGAGGCTGGCAGAGGACTCGCCTAGGCGAAAACTGCTCGACGAAGCATTCGTCGAGCTCCTCTACGGAAGCCGCGCGACTGCGAAATTCGTCATGTGGGCGAATGTCGCCCAGGAGGTTTTCGCGAAGTCAACATGCGGAACGGCATCACGTGCTCGACGGTGCATCGCTGGCGAAACCGTCGGCACGCGTTCTACCTGGCACCTGCGCAATGTGCCTGGCGGCGCATCCGTCTACCTGCACCTACTTGGTAGGTGCGCACCTGCGCAGAAGTTCACCTGCCTCTGCGGCGCTGGCAGACCGTTGCTATACCGCGCTGGCAGACCGCAGCTATACCGCGCTGGCAGACTACTCTGCTGCAGCGTTGGCAAGCCGCGCTTCTGCAGCGCTGGCATAGTTCGCCCTGCAGAGGGCTTGCTAGGTGTTGCAATGCCATTCTAGCTATATCGACTTGCATGCCTCATTGTAATCTAATGTTATTTCAATTTCTTAGTGGAATTCTTGCCATATCTCTCTATGAACATAACAAGTAGTGAGAACGCCTAGCACAACGCTACAATCACCCACACAACCCCGTGCCTTCCTCCGTAGTCTACTCCCGTTGTGTAGTGACTCTCCGCACGTACCACGCGTAAACCCCGTTCTTCAGGGCCTGTTGGGCCACTCTCTGCCAATGTCGCAGCTAGAATTCTCCTTCTCGCGGCTCTTGCGCTCGCAGCCGCCGGATACTCCGTTCCCAGCGCCGCCAACCGCGCACTGCCGCCGCGCCAAGGTGCCTGGCGTCTAACCAAACAACACCCGTCTCGCCTGCCTCGACTCCGAGTCAATCGCGCCGGACGCTCGTTAAAGCTCGCCGGCGCCAGCGCGCCTCATCGCAACTATGGGGGTGTTGGACGGAAGATTGCTGGCAGACAATTCGGCGACATCGGGTTCCCGCAATTTGCCAACGATGTTTTTTTCTAACTGCCCACCGACTCCGAGTTGATTTTGATCGCGCGCAGTTACCGAAATCGTGGTTGGAGTTGTCACCAAAATGTTTTCGGGCACACAGCCAGAAACACAGGCATTCAAGTGCTCGGTGAAGCGTGGTTCGTCGGGTTTTAGAAATTTTTTCATACGCGGCAAAAACGTTTCACGTTTGTCCAGGACCAAGTGGGTCTTAACATAATGTACACGACATATTATGTTCTGTAAAAACATTAATTTATCAAGCCTGCACGTTGTTATTTGCCGAACAAATTTTGGCCTAATCAGTATTTAATATATATTATAATTGTCTTATGAATGGTTGTTACGGTATAATAAACAGCTGTTTTACCTCACATACATGTTACTATATTTTCCTCTAGGCATCTCTCTTAACCGTGCAGTATCACGATTTCTCAACAAGGCGAACTCATTCCTGAATTGCTTTGCTGTGTCAGCAAAGATTTACAAGATGGTAAAACAGCATGCTTTTGACCAATTACCACTCATGCTCGAGTGGACTCAGCTCGATGAGTGCTGATGTGTGTGCGTCGGAGTGGCACCCAATCGCAGCAATCGCACATCGAGCCAATGGGTGAGGGTGTGCGCTGTACTAGCATCCAGCCTGGCTTCGCCTCATCCCCCCCGCAATTTACAGCATCCAGCCTGGCATGGCCCGAAAAAACTGATTCGCTGCCATTTTTCCCCGTACTGTACATTCCCTTCTCTAATGCTGCTTGTCGCGTGTTTTTTTTTGCCCAAGGTCAACAAAAGCAGCATTCGTAAGTCAGTTTTGGTTATTCAAACAGCAGTAATTTGTCCGTAATTGCACGCCAGATCTATCTGGGCAGCATCTTGTTAAACCAGTGTTTTTTACGGTGAACCAGTTTCCCAACTGTCAAGTTCCTCCTCACCTCACATCTTGGAAGGGTGAACTGAGCAGGGAGCGAGCAGGGCCAGCAATACAATACGACTCATTTGAACTAGTGTTCCATTTGTGTTAGTGCCTCATTTCAACGGAGGAGTTTTTGTTTCCTTGGTAGTTTTTCAACTCATTCCGCCATGGTTCCCACACCCCCCTTCGCGACGAACAATCGCAACCTCGTGTTGAGCACGATGCCGCCGTGACTGCTGGTGAGTTTTTTCTGTGCTCGTTCGTACATGTGCTCTTTCTCGGTGTTTGTATCTTTTTCGCTATGTTAAAGTTTCGTAAGCTTTAACATGTCCTTCATTAATGGCTATGCTTCTTCAGGAATTTATTCTCTCACTGACGCTGTCTATTTCCTTGCCGTGTCTCATATTTTCAGATCATCGTGTTAGTTGAAGTGTTGTATGTTATGATTATTATTATTAATACTTCAAAATTCGCCCTGTAATGTCAGCTTCAGTATTTGTTGCTAATGGGCGTTTTGATGAAGCGCGTGATTATTGCTATTATCTACGTTGCTGTGCTTTATTATCGTGATTTTGAATATTTAATGCTGTATCCAGTTGTGTATTATCTCAATTAAAGGCGTTGACCATTATCACATATTCGTTAAAAGAATTAAAAAGTACTAACAATATCTGTTTGATTTATAACGCTTTCCAAATATAGGGTTACACAAATGGTTACGCGAGGTAACAAAGCAACTGATCAAGCCTCGCATGTGCGATGTTCTCGTTTCGGATCCGATGGTAACAAATCCGAACCAATCGTGCCAACTGACATGCGATGCGTAGGCAATACAGTGCAGTCGGCCCGCAGGTTGGTTTCGACAATTCCCAGGTTGACTGCATGGTGGTTCTGTTGCCCAGCAATTACCCCCCCGTATTGCCTGCCGAATCTCAGGACCCATAAAATCGGGCGTCACTAAGATGGTTTCCGGCTAATTGCTGGAAACCACATTCCTTCGTGCGATGTGGCTTCAGGCTTGGCTTCAGTCTTGGCTTCATGGCTTCAGTCTTGGCTTCAGTCTTGGCTTCGTGGCTTCAGTCTTGGCTTCAGTCTTGGCTTCGTGGCTTCAGGCTTGGCTTCATGGCTTCAGTCTTGGCTTCATGGCTTCAGTCATGGCTTCAGTCTTGGCTTCATGGCTTCAGGCTTGGCTTCATGGCTTCAGGCTTGGCTTCATGGCTTCAGGCTTGGCTTCATGGCTTCAGTCTTGGCTTCATGGCTTCAGGCTTGGCTTCATGGCTTAAGTCTTGGCTTCATGGCTTCAGGCTTGGCTTCAGTCTTGGCTTCATGGCTTCAGTCATGGCTTCAGTCTTGGCTTCATGGCTTCAGGCTTGGCTTCATGGCTTCAGTCTTGGCTTCATGGCTTCAGTCTTGGCTTCATGGCTTCAGGCTTGGCTTCATGGCTTCAGGCTTGGCTTCATGGCTTCAGGCTTGGCTTCATGATGCCCTATTCCCGGGCGCTGGCCTGTTCACCCGAATCTGCTACCCCGTGTGCCGAATCCCGCAGTGAAGGCGCTGGTGCAGCTGAAGGAGGCGTGGGGCGCGTGGGCGGGCAACAGCAACGCCACCACGGCGTGCTCTGCGTGGGCTGGCGTCACGTGCAGCCCTCAAGGCCTCGTCGCTGCCCTGTCAGTCTCCCCGCCGCTCATTTCACCTCCGCGCCCTCTCTGCCCGTTGCTGCCCCTCACTGTCCACTGCACTGCACCTCACCGCCCTTCACTGTCTGTCCGTGCGCTCATTGCCCGCGGCGCGGCTCATCACTGTGCCATCATGCAGAGGCACTCATCACTGTGCCATCATGCAGAGGCACTCATCACTGTGCCATCATGCAGAGGCACTCATCACTGTGCCATCATGCAGAGGCACTCATCACCGTGCCATCATGCAGAGGCACTCATCACTGTGCCATCATGCAGAGGCACTCATCACTGTGCCATCATGCAGAGGCACTCATCACTGTGCCATCATGCAGAGGCACTCATCACTGTGCCATCATGCAGAGGCACTCATCACTGTGCCATCATGCAGAGGCACTCATCACTGTGCCATCATGCAGAGGCACTCATCACTGTGCCATCATGCAGAGGCACTCATCACTGTGCCATCATGCAGAGGCACTCATCACTGTGCCATCATGCAGAGGCACTCATCACTGTGCCATCATGCAGAGGCACTCATCACTGTGCCATCATGCAGAGGCACTCATCACTGTGCCATCATGCAGAGGCACTCATCACTGTGCCATCATGCAGAGGCACTCATCACTGTGCCATCATGCAGAGGCACTCATCACTGTGCCTCCATCACCGCCTGCTCCGCATGCGGCACTCATGGTTGCGCTGCCCGTACTGCTTCTGAATGGGCTGCTTGCGTGTGCTGGCAGGGATGCTAAGCTGATTCCCGAATCGGATCCTCCCCCGAGTGGCGCCATACCCGCCGCCATCACCACCCTCGCCAATCTGCAATACCTGTCCGTCCCCACCCACGCTCTCCCTCCACCACCCACGCTCTCCCTCCACCACCCACGCTCTCCCTCCACCACCCACCTCTCCCTCCACCACATCCATCGGGTCCTTCCTTCGTTTGCCAAGCACAACGTGTGCGTGCTTGCTCCTGTTCTTTCACGTGCTTTCATGCTTCACGCCTGTCCCACCGGCACCATGCTGCGTCCGTCCATCTCATTCCTCTCCTTCCACACGTCAGAACCCATCCCCTCCCCCTGCCCTTCCATGCCTCGCTTCTCGAATGGTTTCATTTCACCAGAACTAAGACCTTATCTTGGCCATAAATCTCAAGAGGTCCATTCTTCCATGCCATTGCCTTTCCCACTGTTGGTTCCTTCCCGCCCTCGTATTCCCACAGCGATCTGTCTTACCTTGATCTTGTGGGGTCCATTCCATCTCTCGCCCCTCTCACCGCCCTCACCCACCTGTATGCGCCCCTCTCACCGCCCTCACCCACCTGTACGTGCTGTTCTCCCGTGCTTTCAGATCTCAGCTGCTTATCTGTTGGACAACGCCCACCCACCATGCCCACCCACCATGCTCATCCACCATGCCCATCCACCATGCCCATGCACCATGCCCATGCACCATGCCCATGCACCATGCCCATGCACCATGCCCATGCACCATGCCCATGCACCATGCCCATGCACCATGCCCATGCACCATGCCCATGCACCATGCCCATGCACCATGCCCATGCACCATGCCCCTAAGTTGGAAAAAACGCGTTTGGCGTTTTATACGCTAGCGTTTTAACGCTAGCGTATAAACGCCAAACGCTTGTTGGGTTGTGTTACATACGCTCTGCAAACGCATGGCCGGGCAGGGTAAAAAAAGTTTTGGGCAGGGGAAAATTTGAGGTTAAGAGGTGGGGATGGGGGGAGGTGCAAAGCACCAGCAAAACCCATCCCTTATTTATTAATTTCCAGATTTCAGTCATGCAACTTCCTACAACATTCCCCCACCCCACCTTCCACCTAACATCCTACACCCTCTATGGTAATGCTGCCCCTCATTCCCACCATCCAACCGCCCTTCACCTAAGCATACTCGTCCTCAAGAATAGCATCCTCCCCCTCCTCCACATCCTCACCCTCCTCCTCCATTGTGTAGCCTTCAGGAGTGGGAGGGTCCTCCATGTTCCCCGTGACGACCCCCTGGCCAGCAGGGACCGAGTACCAGTTGTGCACAACTTGCCAGTTGTGCGCAATATAGACTAGGTCCCTGCACTTCTGGGAGCCTAGGCGGTTGCGCCTTGCCGTGTGGACTGCGTCCCACACAGCCCAGTTTCTCTCGCATGCAGCCGCTGAAACTGGCTGCGAGAGCACACGACAAGCAAGCGTCGCGAGCTCGGGGAAGTCAGTGCCGTTCCAATTCCACCACTCAACGGCGCTCTGCGTCCCCTCCTTCACTGCCGCACGTTCAGCAATGGCCTGCAGCAGGCCAAAGCTTCCCTGCAGGGTCATGAATGCGGAAAGCCCCTCCTGCAGCACCAAGGAAGCTCGGCGCTCCACGCCGTCCTTCCGAGTGATGGTGAGGTGGTCGTAGTGGGTCGTGATGTAGGTCTTCAGGACGCGCGTGCACTCAATGTCGCTCCTGAAGATCCCTTCTTCCTGGTTGACAGGATTCAGGATCCTGCCAACGACGTGCATGGGGCACGCGAGAGTCTCATCCCACCGCTTCTTCACGATGCGCGTGATGTCCCCCACCTCCCCCCTCGTCAGGAACCCGTCCGCCTGCTCGTCGAGGAGATCCTGCAGGTTCTCGGTGAGCTCGAGCATGTTGTCATAGATGCGGCCCATCATGCCCTTGGCCGTTGCATCCGTCGCGCGCATCATGACGAAGGGGACCTTCATGACGGCCGTGAAGAACTCCGTGAGCTTCCACCACGGCTCATCCATCACTTGCACGCAGAAGGCTTCTGCGCTCACTTTCCTTGCGCCAGTTGCCCAGCCACGCCACTCCTCACTCAGAACCATCTGCAGGAGGGAGAGGCGCACTTCACACAGGCGGGAGACCGCAATGAACTGCGTGCCGAAGCGCGTCCCCGCGGGCTTCAAGACCTGCTTCCCCTTCCCGCCGTTGACTTGAGGGCTGCGCAGGTAACCGCGCGTGAAGTGATGGTTCCGCACAAAATTGATGATCTCCGCCGCCCGGGAAACAATCTCCCTCGCCCACGACATCTTCCCAATGTCCTCCATCATAAGGTCGAGGACATGGGTCGCACACGGAACCTGCTCGATGTGCGGGTATTCCGCGATGAGGGCACGGCACGTGGCGGCGTAGTTGGAGCCGCCATCCATGCAAAAGGCCACGATGTTGTCGGCCCCGACCTTCTTGATGATCAGGCGAAGAAGGTCGGCAATGTAACCGCCCGTCTTCTGCTCCATTTTCGTGTCCACGAACTCGACGAAGACGGCCCCGCTGTCATTGATGAGAAGTACGTTCGCCTGAGGACGGCCGCTGCCGTCCGTCATCATATCGCTCGCTATCGTAACGCCATCACGACGCCAGCTCGCCGCGACTGGAGCAAGCGCCCCTTCAATGCGCTCGCGACACTTCTGGAGACCGGCACCACCGACGACGCGACGCTTCGGCGGGGTGTATCCAGCTCCCGCCCGCGCAATGCACGTGACTGCATTGCGCCAGAGGGGATGGTCGGCGTGATGTTCTGGCAGGCGCAGACCGGCGAAGAGAAGACACACCGCCTCGTCGGCGGACATCTTCAGGCAGGCGGCGTCGTCGCCGTAGAAGTCTGTCATGCGAGACTTCTTCTCGCCATTGATCGCCGAGATTGCCGAAACCTCCGCGGTGCGCTTATTCTCCCGCCCTTGTTCTTCTTCTCGTAAATCGCCTTCACGCTCTCCTTGGCCTCCTTGGGAGATTTGGAGCACAGGTGCACCTCACGGCGCCTCATCTTGGCCCAGCTGGTGATGTGCTGCGCAGCGCGGTACATTCCGCCCGTGAACTTGAACTTGCAGTATTTGCAAACCTTGGTGGCGTGGTCGACATCGTTGCCGGGGGGCACTAAGAAGTGCTTGTAAACAGCGTGGTTACTGTCCATGCAGACCAATGAAGAGCTCGTAGCCTCAGCAGAAGTACTACAAGGCTCTGCAGTCGGGGTAGAACTTGGTGTTGCAGAACGATGGGGAGCCATGCTGGAAATGGAGCTTGAGGAAAGAAACTGAATGAATGACGAGAGGAAATGAGCTACATTTATGTTGAAGGGAGGGTGGGTTGAAAGCAAGATTGGTGAAGGAAAGGGAAGTGGGAGTTGACGGGGTGTGGTGGTGTGTGAAGTGGTGAACAATTGTGGTGGGTGCGACTCGGCTTGGAAATTCATTTTTCAAGCCACTTTCGTGCTGTTCGAAACCCAACCCTCGCGTCGCCACGTTGCGAACGGAAACTCAAAGTTTGATTATTATTTTTGGGCTGCCCAACACTTTTCGTAGCGTATAAACGCAAAACGCAAAAGTACATTAGCGTTTTTTCCAACTTAGCCATGCCCATCCACCATGCCCATGCACCATGCCCATGCACCATGCCCATCCACCATGCCCATGCACCATGCCCATGCACCATGCCCATGCACCATGAACATGCACCATGCCCATGCACCATGCCCATGCACCATGCCCATGCACCATGCCCATGCACCATGCCCATGCACCATGCCCATGCACCATGCCCATGCACCATGCCCATGCACCATGCTCATGCACCATGCCCATGCACCATGCCCATGCACCATGCCCATGCACCATGCCCATGCACCATGAACATGCACCATGCCCATGCACCATGCCCATGCACCATGCCCATGCACCATGCCCATGCACCATGCCCATGCATCATGCCCATGCACCATGCCCATGCACCATGCCCATGCACCATGCCCATGCACCATGAACATGCACCATGCCCATGCACCATGCCCATGCATCATGCCCATGCACCATGCCCATGCACCATGCCCATGCACCATGCCCATGCACCATGAACATGCACCATGCACCATGCACCATGCCCATGCACCATGCCCATGCACCATGCCCATGCACCATGCCCATGCACCATGCCCATGCATCATGCCCATGCACCATGCCCATGCACCATGCCCATGCACCATGCCCATGCACCATGCCCATGCACCATGCCCATGCACCATGCCCATGCACCATGCCCATTCACCATGCCCAGTTCACCACCCTCATTTGCACACATCCTGCTCTTTGAAGCTTGATCCTCGTTCCCATCCCATCCACGCTCCAAAACCTCAACTCATTCTAACTTTCCCAGTCCAATTCCTTGCACTACCAATCATTACCATCCGTCCCTACATGTACTTTGCCGCTGTGTCATGATGATTCAGGGTGAATCATTCCTGCTGCCCCTGCATCTGGCACCTCTGGCATGTGTCCTCTCCTCCTCCCCATCCCCATTGCCCAATGAATGCGCGGCATGCTCCCTTCCCTGCATGCCACGCGTGACCACAGGGCCATTGGAACGGACGGCAGCAGGCTGAATGGCACATTGGTCGGACTGGATTGGCTTTCCTCCCTCACCGCCCTGCACACGCTGTATGCTCGCCCTGCCACCCGTGCTCGCCCTGCCACCCATGCTCGCCCTGCCATCCATCCTCGCCCTGCCGCCCATACTCGCCCTGCCACCCATACTCGCCCTGCCACCCATCCTCGCCCTGCCGCCCATACTCGCCCTGCCACCCATGCTCGCCCTGCTACCCATGCTCGTCCAGGAAGACATGTCATTGCGCATGCTGTTGGCTTTCCACTCATTCCTTCCTTTAGCCGTGGTGCACGCCACATTGTGCCCGCAACTCATGCTCACTGCGCCAACTCATGCCCACTGCGCCAACTCATGCCCACTGCGCCAACTCATGCCCACTGCGCCAACTCATGCACACTGCGCCAACTTTTGCCCACTGCGCCAACTCATGCCCACTGCGCCAACTTTTGCCCATGCATACGTGCATGCCACACTGCCCTCCTGCCACCAGGAGTCTGATTGGCTTGGCAGAATTCATAGGGGACTTGTCCTCCCTGCACATTCTTTCTCAATTGCAAAGCCTTCAAGATCTGTAAGCATCAGTGCAGTGCAGTGCACTAAGATATTGCGGTCGCGTTATGCTATGCTGCTATTCTCTATCTCATGTCAAATCATCCTTCAGTTGTGTTGAGCCTTGTAGTATGGTTGCTAAACCAGGCTTCAATTTGCGTCAGTGGTGCATTCAGTCTTGCTGATTGCCTGTGCATGCTGGGCATGAACGCAGGAAACTCATTTCATTCACCAACGCCACAGGGGAGATACCCGGAGAGATCAGATACTTAACTGCCCTCACTGCACTGTAAGCTGCACACAAGTCCCAAGCATAGCACACATGAAGCAACCCTGTTCATGTGCAATGGTGGAACTTCTCTTAGAAACATTGCACATGATGAAACCTCATCATGTTGAAACATTGTCCCCACGACATGACCGCATCTCTCTGCTTTTCGCCTGCATGGTGTCCTCTTGCCCCTCTCTCTCCAGGGACCTATCCTACCTTCGTGCCTTGGAGTTTCCTGATTGGTTGACCCACCTCTCCAGCCTTGAGCACCTGTGAGCTTGTCTTGCCCCACCTTACTCTCGTTCTTTGCCGTTGCTGCAAGCACATCACACCCCCAAGAAGGCACAGGGTAAGCGCACACCGCATGTGCCATTGTTATCATGGCTAAGTCTTGTCGCAGTGGAGAGGATCTCAACATCTCTCCTTCCCTTGCGTGCAGGACGGTGAATAACTTTTTGAGACGTCTCAAGAGGACTCTCAAGGACTCTCCTTCCCTTGTGCCTTGTGTACCGTTGCCGGTCTTCCTGTGTGTGCAGGACGGTGAATAATGACGATCCACGCCGCCACGGATTGCTCAACGACAACATGTCTGGGCTTACAGCACTCACCGCCCTGTGAGCTCAGCGCGCTTGTTGAATGGAGAGTGCACCGAGCATGCAGGCTCTTGGAGGTAACTCAAAGCATGTATGCTCGTCATGCTGTGTACGTTACTCTGGTCTGGTGTAGACATGACCAGCGGGTCAGGCCAGGTCTGGTTGGGTTTACCGGACCGACTCGGGGTTTTGGCTGTTCCTGTAGCGGCCGCTCTAGTGGACCCGACTTGACCAGGCCAACCCGATCGAGTTGTCTTTTGAGTCGACTCAAAAGTCAAGTCAACTCGTTTTTTTGTCACGATCTGACTTTTTTTGTTTTCACCCTTTTTGTCGCAATAAGCCCTCACCCCCACACCATGTCAATGTTTTCCCTTGCTGCATTCTTGACTCTTGCTACGGCAAGGAAAACAATAACAAATCCTCCACAAGTTACTCTTTTGACCTCCACCAGTCAGGAACTCAGGCGTTCATGTGCTGCGTGCTCCCGTGCTCCCATAATGTGCAGATCCCTTACTGGAAACAGCTTGCAGGGCTCCCTGCCTGAGAGCTGGTCCTCGCTGGTCAATTTGGCGGACCTGTGAGTTACTGCTTGTGCTGCCATCCTTCCTTCCATGCCGTCCTTCCTTCCATGCCGTCCTTCCTTCCATGCCATCCTTCCTTCCATGCCATCCTTCCTTCCATGCCGTCCTTCCTTCCATGCCGTCCTTCCTTCCATGCCGTCCTTCCTTCCATGCCATCCTTCCTTCCATGCCGTCCTTCCTTCCATGCCGTCCTTCCTTCCATGCCATCCTTCCTTCCATGCCATCCTTCCTTCCATGCCATCCTTCCTTCCATGCCATCCTTCCTTCCATGCCGTCCTTCCTTCCATGCCATCCTTCCTTCCATGCCATCCTTCCTTCCATGCCATCCTTCCTTCCATGCCATCCTTCCTTCCATGCCGTCCTTCCTTCCATGCCATCCTTCCTTCCATGCCGTCCTTCCTTCCATGCCGTCCTTCCTTCCATGCCATCCTTCCTTCCATGCCATCCTTCCTTCCATGCCATCCTTCCTTCCATGCCATCCTTCCTTCCATGCCGTCCTTCCTTCCATGCCATCCTTCCTTCCATGCCATCCTTCCTTCCATGCCATCCTTCCTTCCATGCCATCCTTCCTTCCATGCCGTCCTTTCTTCCATGCCATCCTTCCTTCCATGCCGTCCTTCCTTCAATGCCATCCTTCCTTCCATGCCATCCTTCCTTCCATGCCATCCTTCCTTCCATGCCGTCCTTCCTTCCATGCCATCCTTCCTTCCATGCCGTCCTTCCTTCCATGCCGTCCTTCCTTCCCGTCCTTCCTTCCATGCCATCCTTCCTTCCATGCCGTCCTTCCTTCCATGCCGTCCTTCCTTCCATGCCATCCTTCCTTCCATGCCATCCTTCCTTCCATGCCATCCTTCCTTCCATGCCATCCTTCCTTCCATGCCATCCTTCCTTCCATGCCGTCCTTCCTTCCATGCCATCCTTCCTTCCATGCCGTCCTTCCTTCCATGCCGTCCTTCCTTCCATGCCGTCCTTCCTTCCATGCCATCCTTCCTTCCATGCCGTCCTTCCTTCCATGCCATCCTTCCTTCCATGCCGTCCTTCCTTCCATGCCGTCCTTCCTTCCCGTCCTTCCTTCCATGCCATCCTTCCTTCCATGCCGTCCTTCCTTCCATGCCGTCCTTCCTTCCATGCCATCCTTCCTTCCATGCCATCCTTCCTTCCATGCCATCCTTCCTTCCATGCCGTCCTTCCTTCCATGCCATCCTTCCTTCCATGCCATCCTTCCTTCCATGCCGTCCTTCCTTCCATGCCGTCCTTCCTTCCATGCCGTCCTTCCTTCCCGTCCTTCCTTCCATGCCATCCTTCCTTCCATGCCGTCCTTCCTTCCATGCCGTCCTTCCTTCCATGCCATCCTTCCTTCCATGCCATCCTTCCTTCCATGCCGTCCTTCCTTCCATGCCGTCCTTTCTGCCATGCACCGTTCTGTTCATGATGACACTCTCTAG